AAAATGATTGTCTAAATCATTTTGTAGAGTCCAGTATCATTTGATGTGATGGTGATGGGAGTTATGAGGTGAATTTGCTCATTTCTGTATATAACAGAACTACTATAAGAAGATATTTTTTATGTAAGTCAGCAGAACAACACAAGTATGTATCCAAGGGTTACCAAACTCTTAAATATTCCAAACCTTTCATTACTTGTGTTTTTGTACATTAAATGTTAATACCCCCTAAACCTCTTTTTTAAAAATGTGCTAGCATCACCACACTTCATTTATACCACATTTAGCTATGGTGGTGTTGTAAGCAACATAATTTGCATATTTTAATTGCATTTCTCCTTTATTAGTTTAGAAAAACAAGTTGAGAATGAAATAAGCTGACACTAGGAAAAAATAGAGGTCTCATAAACTTAATTCAATAGAAACAAGGAAGAAATTGTTAGGTGTGCTGCAACTGCAAACCTCTAGATTCCATGCAGTATTCCTGGGTTTAACTCAGCTATGGTCAGTTGCTATAGAAAAGAAGAGACAATTAAAAATATTTGTTTTTTGAGTAAAAATCATCAAAAATTATATCTGAGTTGAGATGTAATAGAACTATAAATTATGGTATTTATGTATATTTTTAGCTTTCTGAAAATATAGTCACATAAATTTACTTTTCTTTTAAAGATTTTATTCATTTATCTTTAGAGAGGAAGGGAATGAGAGAGGGAGAGAAATATCAATGTATGGTTGCCTCTTGTGTGTCCTCCAGTGGGAACTGGCCTCCAACCCAGGCATGGGTCCTGACTGGGAATCAACTGCAATCCCTTAGTTCACGGGCCCGCACTCAATCCACTGAGCTACACCAGCCAGGGCTAAATTTACTTTTAATGTTCAAGTTTGGGGACTACATATATTTAAAAAAATTTTCAAATGGAAGAACAATCAGATTTCCTTAAATTTATTTCCTTCAGGTAAAAATTTCAGTAACTGTCTATAAATCTTTTAAAAATTAAAAAATATATTTTATTGATTATGCTATTACAGTTGTCCCATTTCCCCCCTTTACTCCCCTCCACCCTGCACACCCTCTCCCACCCACATTCCCCCCTTTAGTTCATGACCATGTGTCACACTTAAAGTTCTTTAGCTTCTACATTTGCCCTACTATTCTTGCCCTTCCCCTATTTTCTTCCTACCATCTATGCTACTTATTCTCTGTACCTTTTCCCCCTCTCTCCTCCTCCCACTACCCTGTTGATCTCTCCACATGATCTCCATTTCTGTGGTTCTGTTCCTCATCTAGCTGTTCTATTAGTTTGCTTTTGTTTTAGGTGTGGTTGTTAGTAATTGTGAGTTTGCTGTCATTTTACTGTACATGTTTTTCATCTTCCTTTCCTTAGATAAGTGCCTTTATATTTCAGATAATAAGGGCTTGGTGATGAGGAACTCCTTTAACTTGACCTTATCTGAGAAGTACCTTATCTGCCCTTCCATTTTATTTATTTTTTTAAAAATTTTATTTAGTTATTTTTCAAGTACAGTTTTTTGTCTATTTTTCCCACCCCAGCCTCCCCCGCCCCTTGCTCCCCACCTCCCTCCCATTTCCACCCCCCTTAGTTCTCGTCCCTGTGTCCTTCCTATTTGTTCCTCCAAATCCCTCCCCCTTACTTCCCTTCCTTCTCCCCTCTGATCACTATCCCCTTGTTCTCTATTTCAGTGTCTTTGTTTTTTTTTTTCTGCTTGCTTGTTTGTTTTGTTGTTTAGCTTCCTGTTAAAGGTGAGATCATATGGTATTTGTCTTTCAGCACCTGGCCTATTTCACTCAGCATAATGCTTTCCAGTTCCATCCATGTTGTTGCAAATGGTAGTAGCTCCTTCTTTCTCTCTGCAGCATAGAATTCCATTGTGTATATGTACCACAATTTTTTTGATCCATTCACTTACTGATGGGCACCTAGGTTGCTTCCAACTCTTGGCTATTGTAAATTGTGCTGCTATGAACATTGTGGTGCATAGGTTCTTTGAAATTGATGTTTTACGATTCTTAGGATATAATCCCAGCAGTGGAATTGCTGGGTCAAAAGGCAAGAACTCGAGGAACAACAACAAAGACAGCCCAGAGCAAGCAGAAGGAAGGAAATAACCAAGATTAGAGCAGAACTTAATGACATAGAAACTAAAAGCACAATTTTAAGGATCAATGAATCCAGGAGTTGGTTCTTTGAGAAGATAAACAAAATAGACAAGCCGTTAAGTAGGCTCATCAAGAAAAGAAGAGAGAGGACACAAATAAACACAATCAGAAATGAAAAAGGAGAGATTACAACTGATACCACAGAAATAGAAGAGATTGTAAGAAATTACTATGAAGAACCTGTATGCCAAGAAATTTGAAAACCTAGGGGAAATGGACACATTTCTAGAAAAATACAATCTTCCAAAACTCAGTGAAAAAGAAGCAAAAAATCTAAATACACCAATAACAGCAAAAGAAATTGAAGCAGTAATAAAAAAACTCCCACCACACAAAAGCCCCGGACCAGATGGTTTCACAGGAGAATTCTACAAAGCATTTAAGGAAGAGCTAACCCCTATTCTCCAGACTATTTCAAAAAATCCAGAAGGATGGAAAACTCCCAAATTCTTTTTATGAAGCCAGCATCATCTTAATTCCAAAACCAGATAGAGACACAACAAAGAAAGAAAACTTCAGGCCAATATTGCTGATGAACATAGATGCTAAAATCCTCAACAAAATATTGGCAAATCGCATCCAACAATATATCAAAAAGATCATACACCATGCCCTTCCATTTTAAATGAAAGCTTTGCTGGATAGAGCAATCTTGGATGTAGGCTCTTGCCTTTCATGAGTTGGAATATTTCTTTCCAGCCCCCTTTTGCCTGCAAGGTCTCTTTTGAGAAATCAGCTAACAGTCTGATGGGAACTTTTTTGTAGGTAACTGTCTCCTTATCTCTTGCTGCTTCTAGGATTCTCTCCTTCACTTTAATCTTGGGTAATGTAATTATGATGTGCCTTGGTGTGTTCCTTCTTGGGTCCAGCTTCTTTGGGAATCTGAGCTTCCTGGACTTTCTGGAAGTCTATTTCCTTTGCCAGATTGGGGAAGTTCTCCTTTATCATTTGCTCAACTAACTTTTCCACTTGTTGCTCTTCCTCTTCTCCTTCTGGTACCCCTGTAATTTGAATGTTGCAGTGTTTAAAGCTGTCTAAGGAGGTTTCTAAGCCTCTCCTCATGTTTTTGAATTCTTGTTTCTTCATTCTTTTCTGTTTGGTTGTTTGTTTCCTCCTTCTGGTCCACTCCACTGATCTGAGTCCCAGTTTTCTTTCCATCACTATTGATTCCCTGTGTACTTTTCTTCATTTCACTTAGTGTAGCCTTCATTTTTTCATCTAATTTGAGACCAAATTCAACCAATTCTGTGAGCATCCCAATCACCAGTGTTTTGAACTGTGCATCTGATAGGTTGGTTATCTCTTTGCCTCTTAGTTGTATTTGTTCTGGAGCTTTGACCTGTTCTGTCATTTGGGTCATTTTTTTTGTCTTGATGCACCTGCTACATAGTGAGGGGTGGAGCCTTAGGTGTTCACCAGGGTGGGACAACCCACTCCACTGAGTTGTGATGCTGTTTGTGGGGGAGGGATCCGAGAGGGAACAATGGCGCTTGCTCTACTCTCTGGTGGATTTCCATCATTTCCATCATTTCCCCCAAGGAAACTGGGTCATTCTGGTGCTGATTTCCACGTGGGTGGGCTTGTGTACCTTCTAGGACCCCATGGGTCTCTCCAACAAACTATTTTGTGAGTCTGGGAGTCTCTTCTGGCACCTCGACCCGCACAGATATTTTCAATCAGTATTTTGAGGCTTTATATCCCAGAGCTGGAGCCTTGGGTTGTGCGGTCTGTCTCACTCCCCAGTTTAACCTGGTTTATCTGTGTGGGAATGTTGGACTGCTTGGTCTGCCAGCCACCTTGTGCACTGTGCTCCTCCAATCTGCTGCCTCACTGTGTTTGCCTGCTGTTTACCCCATGCTCGTGGTCTGCCAGCTGCTGTCTGTGTGCCCAGGGTTTGCCATCCACTGCTTTTTTTGCCATGACTCATCTCCTCCTGGCCGCAGACTCCACCCTTCCTACCAGTCTGGATGAATGTTTCCATTTTAACTCCTTGGTTGTCAGACTTCTATACAGTTCAATTTTCTGTCAGTACTGGTTGTTTTCTTATTTCTAAATTTTTATTGTCCTTATTTTGGTTGTGCGAGGAGGCACAGTGTGTCTACCTATACCTCCATCCAGGCTGGAAGTCTAAATCTTTAAAAATTTTTTTCAAAGATTTTATTTATTTATTTTTAGAGAGAGGGAAAGGAAGGGAGAAAGAGAGGGAGAGAAACATCCATGTGAGAGAGAAACATTGACCAGCCTCTTGTATGCAACCCAGGCATGTGTCCTGCCTCAGTAGGAATCAAACTGGTATTCTTTCATTTGTGGAATGATACCCAACCAACTGAGCCACACTGGTCAGGGTTATCTATAAGTCTTTATAAAACTTTTAAGGTACGAAAATTGATTGGAAGAAGACATGAAATGAAATTCAGTTTAGTTTCAGTTTAGCTTGATTTAGAGCATAAAATAAAGTTGGGAAAGTGATTTTCTGGACTCATTGGATGGAGGCATCAGAATCCACATCTTTGTGCAATGTTTGAGATGCAGCTAGAATTGATGTCCAGAAAAGCCCAGATCACAGCCCATCCACTCCAAGGCCCATGCACATAAGTGAGAACAGTATTCATGGGGAAGAGCATTTCAAAGCCCCAAGGGCAACTGAACTGTTTCTAGTCTCCTTGTATTCTGGGGACAATTGCATTTTTTTTTAGAGATTAAATAGCAATCAGGTTACCATATAATCCCAAAATCCCTAGATAAAAGAAATATTAATTTCACACAAAAACCTGTATGTGAATGTAAATGCTGACTTTATTTATAATTGCTCAAACAGGAAACATCCAGTGTCCCACAAATGGAGAATGGATAAACAGACTGTGGCATACCCACACAATGGAATTCTACACAGCATTCAAAAGGAATGAGTGTTGATATACCCAACTACATGCATGAATCACAAAGCATGAAAAAAGCCAGATTCAAAAGAGCACATAGATCATAGGATTCCAGGTGTGTGGTGACATTCTCTACAAAGGCAAAACTATAGGGAAAGAAAATAGATCTGTGGTTGCTGAGTAGGTATTGATCACAAGGAGCGGCATGAGGAAATTGTGGGGGGTGATTTTTCTCTTCATTGTGATGGTGGTTACACAATTTTATGTTTGCCAAAACTCAAAGAACAGTGTACCAAAAAGTACATTTTACTCCTTGTAAATAAAAAGTGAATTAAAAAATAGTAATTGGCTACCTAAGTAGAGTGATTTTATGTGATAATAAGTAAAGTTTTTTTTATCCTGATGGAGTATTATAAATGATTTCTAGTTATAGCTTTGGAATATACTGCTAAATTTGCTCCAATCTTTTTTTCCTATTCTAAAGAAGTATTTCCAGGAAACCTGACTACTAGGAATTTATGAATTTTCTCTGCGTTGGTCAGCAACTGAATTGTTGCCTTTGGTGTTTTTCCTCTTTGTACATTTCATCACAGAGATAGGCAAAATTTCCTTCGGGGTCATATTCTTTCAGGTTCAGAAGGAGTGTAACTCCATTTAACAAAAACATACCTTTGGGATACAGCCAAATGTGTTTGTTGGAAACTGTCCTATTTCCTGAAGGGCAAGCTGTACAAGACAGGGGTCCTTTGGGATGCCAAAGCAGGATGGAACTCTGTTTCTGAGAGCCCAACACACATTTCGGAGAATGAGAGCTGCACCATTTTTCCAGTCCAGCCCAGTTCTGGAGTACCTATTTTTCTATCCACAACAGTAGCTGATTACTCAAAATTTAGGTTGAGGTTTGGCTGGCAGGAAGACTGCCTTTAATTCATCTTCATCTGTGGGTAATTTTGTAATTGATACAACACTGTTTCCATTTCTAAATTTACTAACCATCAAATGTTCAAGTCATAGGCTCTCAATTCTTATTAATCTCATTGCTTAAGAAAAACATTTTTTAATCATGTGTTTTATTTCCTCATTATGGAAATGTCAAGTAAGCAGTGAAAATAGGGATGTGCTCTATTTAGTATCACCTTTGTTTCTCAAGGGCACTGGAGAGTTTTTGAACATTACAGCATTTTCTCCACCTTATCTTCCCTCTTTGAGATCAAGTGAGAAGTGAGGCTCTTGGGAGAATTGTAAATTGATTCAGTCTTTTCAGAGAATAATTTTTTAAATTAACTCTCAGCCAAAGATATGTTTATTGATTTTGGAGAGAAAGGAAGTGTGTGTGGAGAGAGAGAGAGAGAGAGAGAGAGAGAGAGAGAGAGAGAGTGATTGGCTGCCTCCTGTATGCACCCTAAACAGGGAACAAATCTGTAATCTAGGTATGAACCCTGACCAGGAATCAAACCGGCAGCAACCTTTTGGTGCGTGGGACAATGCTGCAACAAACTGAGCTACCTTTCCAGGGAGTCAGAGAATAATTTGGTAAAATCTATCAAAATTAAAATCATATGTACTCCTTGGCATAGAAATTTCACTTCTAGGAAATTATTCTAAAAAGACTTTCACACAAGAATTAAAAGATCTCTGTTTATAATAGTTTAAAACTACAAAACATTGGTGGAGAATAAAAATGTTACTTGTTAGGGGCTTGGTTGAATGAATTATGGTGTTTCCATACTATGGGAGAAAGTATGCTGTTAAATAAAAGAGCAGATTACACAATATGATCTACTGTATGATTTCAGCTTGGGAAAATATGGATTTGGGAAAATCCATATTTTGGGATTTGGGAAAAAAGGTGATACTAAATACCAAATATGGAAGGATCTACACAAAACTGCTATGTCACCAAAATTGGAAGTGAATAGGACTCATAGAGGTGAGGTAGGAGAGGGGTGTGAAGGGAAATTGCACTGTTTATTTTATCTACACTTTTGTAATATCTGAATCTGTTTAATGATGAGCAAGCCTCACTTTTACATTAAAAATGCAGAAATGGAAAAAGAGTGATGGAGTACTGAGAACTTGATAATCATGATTAAACAATGTCCCTTTGAGGCTGTCCAGTGATAGTAATTGAGAGTTTCCAAGTGTCTTGACATTTATTATCTTCTTTTCTGCTAGAGACCACCTAGGGAGGTGGGTAGGCATGTGTCCTTTCCCAGGTGGGTGGTGAAAAAGCCAGTCTTTCAGGACATGAGCAGGTTCCCACTCTCATTCTTCCCAAAGTCACAGAGAGTGTTTTCAGTAGTGACTGAGATTTCTGAATTGACTCTTTTGCCAATAGGTTTGTTTAAAGTAGTCTCTATTTTTATTGAGATATAACTTATCTACTGTAAAATATGTGATGTTGAGTGTGTAGCCTGATGAGTTTTGGCAATGTATAAACCATGTGACCTCGGAAAGTTCTCTCATGTTCTCAGCTAATTTCCATTCTCCTTGGTCAACCACTCTTCTGATTCCATTTACTATAATTTGACTCTGCTTTTTTTTTGAACTTCATGTAAAAGGAAACAAAGGGTATATACTCTATATACTCCTTTGTGTTCACCTTCTTTAGCTAAAAGGCTTTTGATATTCATCTATTTTGTTGCATTTATTACTATTTGTGTAATAGGATTCCATTGTATGAACACATTACAATTTTATTTATCCATTTACTTGATGGGCTGTTGCATTATTTCCAGTTTTTGCTAATATGAACAAAGCTTCTATGTACATTCTTGTTTATGTCCTTTTATGAACATTGTTTTCATTTCTCTTAGGTAAACACTTCAGAGTAGGATTGCTAGTTGTATGGTACGTGTGTATTTAACTTTGTAAGAGACTGCCAAACCTTTTCCTACAGGGACTGCAACCATTAGCAATGTAGGGTTTGCCCCCTGAAAATACTAATCTTAGGTACATCTGTAAGTATTTTCCTATAGAGCAAAGGCTATAGGAAATTTTCAATAGTAATAGTAAACATGGTACTGACCTCTTATCCATTTGACCTCCTGCCCCCCCCCCCCCCCCCAGGTAATAGAGACAATATAAGTGAATGAGGGCTGGTCCCTGCCACTGGAGGTCAGTCCAGGAGACTAGTTTCTCTGTCTTTTGGCTGGTGGTCTCTGGAGCTACAAAGTTTAAGAAGTCTCCAGGCCTGAGCACATTTTCACATGCTTTCCACATACCAAAGAGCCTTCGCTTCTTTAAGTTCATGTAGTAGATATTCATTGTTGTTGGCTTGAGAAATCTTCATCACTTTCTCCTCCATTCTTTCCCTCTATCAATAGTGTTATAGAAATGAACAGCTGTGGGAACTGATGACCCCACACATTCCTTTGCTATAAGCACTTCCCCATCCAGCATTTCTCAGGGCACTGCCTGCACAGGGGGGATTTCACAGCCTGACTGTATCTCTTTTTAATGATTGTCCTGATTGTATGGCAAGTGAGGTTTTCCGTTTATGGTGGTAACATACAGTTACCTTTAAATACCGTCTAAGTTAACTTATTTTAACTTAAAATTGTGTCAAGTAAAAATGATTAAATAAATGAAAGCACAGTGGGTCATATTTAGAAAACCACAGGTCTGGTCCAATTCCTCACTAGCTATGTGTTTAATCATTATAATTAAAAGAGATACTAAGCACCCATTGTCACTCAGGATGTAATGAGCCCCAAAGTCGATATGGGTCCCTGTTTGAGACTGAACATCAATGATACTGTTACTAAATATATTCCTGTCAAAATCTTTGTAATATCTAACTCTCCACGAGGTACAAAAAGCCCAAGCTTCCAATTAATTTCCAGATCAACGCTGCATGCTTTCTGATTAAGCATCATAAATGCTATTCAGAGCTCTCTGTGGGCTGGACTGGGTTCCTGCTGATGGTAGAGCGAGGCATTAAGATTGCTGTTGAATCCTCTTCTGTGTTTCCCACAGACAGGGCTTCTTCTAGACCCTGCTGCCTGAGCTTACAAGGTGCCTAATGAGGCCTGCAGTATTTGACAATATTTTTCTCTGCTCTTTTCAGAGATATTTGTTTTGTGGATATTGCCTTATTTTAAATGTTTCTGAGTTGTTTATTTGCTTGCTTTTAAGAGAAAGAGGGACGTAATATTTAGTGAGTGTCTCCTAAATTTAGGATACTTTACATTTTCTATTTCTTTTAAAAGCACAATATCTCTTTTGCAAATAATCTTTCTTCTAGAAAAATCCACCCTACAGGTCTGCTTTCATTCTCACCTACCCTCAATCCATCTCAATAGCAGACAAATATTTGAAAAATACCAAATCCAGGTGTGTTCCCTGCTCCCACCTGCGACTTTATCCTTTGCATCTAGCATGAAGTCACAAATTCTTATAATTCACAAAGTCCACACAACCATGTCCTTTTCTACTTCTCCAGTGTCATCTTAGGTCATTTTCTCCCTGGATTGTGTCCCTTTCCCCCTGCACCTTTCCCCAACACACACACACCAACTTTCTTCAGATCCTTAAAAAGGCTGAGCATATTACTGCCGTGGCTTTTGCACAAGCTGTTTCCTTTGCTGCCAGATACCTGGCTGACTCTTCCTCATCCTTAAGGCATTGGAGTAACTGTCTCTCCTCCAGGGAGACCTTCCCTCAACCAGGAGACCAGATCAAATTCCCCTTGTTAAACACATTAATAGGACCCAGTATTCTTCCATCATGGCAAAACACCACAGTCATAAATAAACAATTATTCCTGTTATTAATTTGGACTTTACTTTCTCTTTTAGATAATAAAGTCCTTCAGGGTAGGAACTATATCTGCTTTATTCATCAACTTATCTCTGACTCCAAGCTGCCCTCAGTGATTCTTGCCTCCTGGTATTCATGACCTTGCATTAGAGTCTTCCACAGTGACCATGGCTGACCCTTGTAACCAATAGGATTCTTCAAAATTCTACTGGGTGATTTCTGAGGTTAGATCATGAAAGGTATTGTAACTTCCATCTTGCTCCCTCTCTAGGACCAGTTGCTTTAGGGGAAGTCGGCTGCTACCTCACGAGAATGCTCAAGCAGTTCACAAAGACGCATGAAAGGGATGGAACTGAGCTTCCTGGCAAGAGCCACCCCCATGTGAATCATATTGGAAGTGAGTCCTCTAGCCCCCGTAGTGTCTTCTGATGGCTGCAATTCTGACCCAATTCTCACCTGCAACCTCATGAGAGAACCCGAACCAGAACCATCCAACCAAGATGCTCCTGAATTCCTGGCCAGTAGATATTGTGTGAGATAAAAAAGTATTTGTTATTTTATGTATCCAAGTTTGGGGGGTAATTTGTTATGCATCAGTATGTAACTAATATACCATATTTCCTGGTATAATATAAGACTCAATAAATACTGAAACACCAACCCAAAAGAACCTATGCACCCCAATGTTCATTGCAGCACAATTTACAATAGCCAAGTGCTGGAAGCAACCTAACTAAATGAATCAGCAAAGACCCATTAGTAAATGAATGGATCAAAAAACTATGGTACATTTACACAATGGAATACTATGCAGCAGAAAGAAAGAAGGAGCTCCTACTCTTTGCAACAGCATGGATAGAACTGGAGAGCATTATGCTAAGTGAAATAAACCAGGGATTGAAAGATAAATACCATATGATCTCACCTTTAACTGGAACCTAATCAACAAAACAAGAAAGCAAAATATACCCAGAAATATTGAAATTAAGGACAATCTGACAGTAATTAGACGGGAGCTGGGAGGAGATAATAGAGGGAGGGGGAAGGGTTTTCAGGAACAGCTATAAAGTACACATGTACATAACCAAGGGGGAGTGGAAGCAGGAGAGGGGGTGGGAATGGCTGGGGTGGGGGGAGTGGAGGTAGGTAAATGCAGACAACTGTAATTAAACAACAATAAAATAATTTTAAAAAGACTCAATAAATAGTTAATGAGTGAGTAAATAAAAACATTTTACACCTTTCTTTTACTTTTGAGAAATGTATAGTCCCCAGAGATGGAATAACTTGATCCAAATCACAGTAACTAAATAGTAGAAACAGGATTGGATGCACATCCACCTATTGCGTGGTCTTCAATGTCATTTCTATTATCGTGTTTTATCTTCCTTGGAGCTAGAAATCTAGTACTCCAAAGAATCTTTACTTCAGAATCTTTTGTTGATCCCACTGTAGATAAGGTTACACACTGGGGCTATTTAATGCAAAGGTCTCCAAAGTGGGGCATGACCATCCCAGGGGATGTGCAAGATATCCACTGGGGTGTGGGGAGAAAATATTATAACATTTTTTAGTTTGATTTTAAAAAGTATGTATTTATTTTCCACTGCGTTAAAAAAGGCATAACAAAATTGACCATTTAACCATTTTTAAATGTACAGTTTAGTAGTATTAAGTATATTTCCACTGTGGTACAAGCAATATTCAAAACTTCTTTATCTTGCAAAACTGAAATGCTATACCCATTCAACAATAACTCCTCATTTCCCCATCCTGCCCATCTCCTGGCAACCACAATAATCCTTTCTGTCTCTATGAATTTGACTACTCGAGGTACTTCGTGTAAGTGGCATCATATGGTATTTGTCTTTTTATGATTGGCTTATTTTACTCAGCTTAATACCCTGGGGGTTTGTTCATTTGTGTTGTCACATGTGATAGCTTTTTCTTCCTTTTTAAGGATGAATGATGTTTCATTGTATGTGTAGACCACATTTTGTTTATCCACTCACTTGTGAATGAACACTTGGGTTGCTTCTACCTATTGTCTATTGTTATGAAAATGGGTTATTTATTATAACTGTTTAAATATTTATTTTTATTTTATCCTTTAAAATTTCTCTTGGTTGTTTTCTTTTTTTTTCTTTTTTTGCTTTTAGTATTTCATTGCATATTGACTCAACTTTCCTTGACAAGATTTCCATCTCTTCATCTCTGGAGCCCAATTTGCTCATGATCTGTGTAGCCCAGTGCAGGAAATTTCCCTGCTCCCCATGCTGGTATCAGCCCTCCATCAATGACTACTAGGAGTTGATATATTAGCACCCCAATTCTTTTCCCTCATGGGCTCTATCCTGTGTCTTGAGGTTGCCCAGTAGAACTGAGCTCCAGTTGCCTACAGTGGTAATTCATTTCATATATACCTGTCTTGAGCCCCTCCCCTACCTCTGCTCCCTGGGACCATATCTGACATTAACTACTAGACTGTGAGTCCATGCTTCAGGGTCAGGTTTTGGGGAGATCCAAAGACAGTAAATGAAAGCAAAACTCTCTGAACTCACTCTGCCATAGTGACTAATGTAAAGAGTGTCATGTGTGAAAAAAGAGCATAACTTTGACTTCGTCTTTTTTCTCAGAAGCAAGTTAAATAGATTCAAACTACTTGACAATTTTATTTCCTTGTAACACCAATTCTGCTTTTGTTTTATAATCAGTGATTTTATTGGAAGGGAGGAGAGTTTTATAAGATTTTGGAGTTACGACAGACAAGTCCAATTTTTGCAGCTCACAAATGAGGATGCTATGCCCCTGAGACCTTTAGCAGTTTGCCAGATGTCACAGAGCTAGAAAGTGATAGAGCAGTGTCTGGAGAGTTGCACTGCAGATTTATCTTAAGGGGTCAAAATGTAAAAATTTTAGGGTTTGTGGGTATGATGGTCTCTGTCACAAAAATTCCACTTGGCCATTGTACTCTGACAGCAGCCTTAGACAAGTCAACAAATGAGCATGGCTGGGTTCTGCTAAATTTTAACTTACAAAAACATGTGGCCAGTTGTGGATCAGAGTTTTCTAACCCTTAATGGTGAGATTACAGAGGAGACAAAGGTCCTCTTTGTCTTTATATCTAAGAGTAAGATTTTTCAGGCTCTAATTATAGCTCTTTAGTATTTGCAATTAATTTTTAAATAATATATAGTCACTTAAATACATATATAAGTGTACTTTCCTCACACCTAAAAATAGTTTACTCAATCCCAAGGTGTATCATAGCCATTTGTCTCCCCCCACACCCCAACTGCTTTTTTCTGTAATGTTAATCCTGCACATTATCCCCAGGCCCTGGGGATATTGTGTTGTAGTCACTAGTTATAGTTCAAACAGCACATATACAGATAAGACTTCTCCCTAAAATATGGAAATGAGAGTGTATTTTTCATTGTGTCAGTATTAATTCTCATAATCTAGTGTTCAATATTATTTTGTATATTCATTTCTACACAGTGGAATGAGTTTAATTTGAAACAATAAGATTCATTTGCATTTAAATTGATATTTTAAGGATTCCCTGTGAGGAGCAAATACAGGTAGTATCCATGACTATAATTATGAGTATTGTTTCCAGGGTGGGTTTGTTTTCCTTAGGAAGGATTTGTAAATGTGGTGCATTGAATTTAATATTAATTATGATGACAAAATAATACCACATGGTTCCAGAGAAAGCCTTATGACTACAGTTCAGATTTTGTGAATATCTTTCTCCTAGTGGCATAGTGGATAAGCAAAGCATATTAACTAAGAACATGTCCATGTGCACCTTTAAACAAAATATTGTAGATATTTAAAAAAAGTACTGAAAACCTAGGTTAATTTTTTAGCTTGAAAGTGCGTGCTTTGAGACTTCTGGCCAAAATGGAGGTGTACGTAGATACACTTTGCTTCCTCACACAACCAAAAGAAGGGCAATGACAAATTTAAAAACAAAAACAACCAGAAATGGCAGAAAATTGAACTGAACTGTATGAAAGTCTAACAACCAAGGAGTTAAAGAAGACACATCCACCCAGACCAGCAGGAGGGACACAGATAGGCAGCTGGGGAAGAGAGGACTCATGGCAAGGTGGAGACTGGAGGACTGGGGCAGGCAAGGCAGTGCCTGGTGGACTAGGATGTCACACATTTGCTTGTAGATAAACTGAGAAGAACAACTGGGGAGTGTGAAAGAATGTGCAACCCAGGGTTCCAGCATGGGGAAATAAAGCCTCAAACCCCTGACTGAAAAAACCTGTGGGGGTGGTAGTGGAGGAAAAAAACTCCAGCCTCATAGGAGAGTTTGTTGGAGAGACCCACAGGGTCCTAGAACATACACAAACCCACTCACATGGGAATCATCTCCAGAAGAGCACAATTTGCTTGTGAGTAGAGGAGAAGGAACTGGAAGCTGGTTGAAAGCCTGGCAAGTGGCATTGTTTCCTCTTGGACCCCGCCCCCACACAGGGTACCACATTGCAGTGCCACAGGCTCCCCCACTCTGGCAAATACCTAATGTTCCACCCCTTACAATGTAACAGGCATGCCAAGACAAAAGTAATGGCCCAAATGAAACAACAGATCAAAGCTCCAGAAAAAAATACAACTAGGCGATGAGGAGATAGCCAACTTATCACATGCAGAGTTCAAAACACTGGTAATCAGGATGCTCACAGAAATGGTTGAGTATGGTCATAAAATAGAGGAAAAAATGAAGGCTATGAAAAGTGAAATAAAGGAAAGTGTACAAGGTACCAACAGCGATGCAAAGGAAACTGGAACTCAGATCAATGCTTTGAACTGGAAGGAAGAAATATACATTCAACCAGAACAGAATGAAGAAACAAGAATTCAAAAAAATGAGGAAAGGCTTGGGAACCTCCAGCACAACTTCAAACATTCCAACACCCAAATCATAGGGGTGTCAGAAGGAGAAGAGGAAGAGCAACAAATCGAAAACTTAGTTGAACAAAAAATGAAGGAGAACTTCCCTAATCTGGCAAAGGAAATAGACGTCTAGGAAGCACAGGAGCTCAGAGAGCCCCAAAGAAGTTGGACCCAAGGAAGCTCACATCAAAGCACATCATAATTACACTACCAAAGATTAAAGATAAGGAGAGAATCTTAAGAGCAGCAAGAGAGAAGGAGAAAGTTACTTACAAAGGAGTTCCCATAAGACTGTCAGCTGATTTCTCTAAAGAATCTTGCAGGCAAGATGGGGCTGGAAAGAAGTATTCCAAGTCATAAAAGGCAAGGACCTCCATCCAAGATTACTCTATCCAGCAAAGCTATCAGTTAGAATGGAAAGGCAGATAAAGTGCTTCCCAGATAATGTCAAGGTAAAGGAGTTCATCACCACTACACCCTTATTATATGAAATGTTAAAGGGACTTATTTAAGAAAAAGAAGATTAAAAATATGAACAATAAAATGACAACAAGCTCACAACTATCAACAAACAACCTTAAAAAATAAAAAGAAAAATGTACTAAGCAAACAATTAGAACAGGAACAGATTGACAGAAATGGAAATCACCATGGAGGGTTATCAGTGGAGAGTTGGTGGGGGGAGAATGTGGGGACAAAGTACAGGGAATGAGAACCATACTTGGTAGGTGTAAAATAGATGGGGAGGTTAAGAATAGTATGGGAAAT